GTATCTATCTCAAAATAAAATGTTCATTGTACTAGTACTTTCGACCACAGGTCATCATCAGGTACTGATATGGAGATGGATGGACATAAGAGAACATATACAACAGAAGCGGTATCGATAAAGCCTTAATGGCGATACAATTGGAAAGGCAAAATAATTAACATAGTAAGATAATACCCTGCCTCGCCTATATTATGGCGTATAATGGCACGTATTCTAAAAAAAAACCTAACAAAAGAGAACAAGTACAAAAGCATTTTATATCATAATATACCGAGTTAAAGATCCAACACAGCATATGAATTAATCTCTAAAAGATTTAAATTAAAGTCCAGTATATTTTAAGGTACCTACATTATTTAAAAAATAATACGCTTTTAATCTAAAGTCCTCGTCATTACTGCATATCCTCCTAAGTCTCAAAAATCGTGAATATGGTATGGATTGTTTGCACAATGGCGGATGCGAAGAAGCGTTGTTGAGGTGGGCATCCGTAGATATATAATACACTGATGTAGTAGGGCGTAATTCATCAATAGATTTTAATTTATAGGAAAGCTAAAGAATTCGAGGAAGTTTCATAGGTAAAATCAATAAATGATAATTAATCGCGAAATCAATAAATAATGTAATTCCTCAATACTCCCGTTAGTAGCTCCTACGCAGCCATGAATTTTTTTAATTGGCTTTCTGGAAAATAATAATTTGTTCGACTTTTACTCAGTCTGAACCAGTTTCATAGTGCAAAGGCAGCTATTGTCGAAGTTCACAACAATGTAATGCTTGCCCTTGGTAGAGTTGATTTCACTATTATTAATCTACTTTGATCTATCATCTACGTTTGACCCAATCTATCATTCTATTTTACTTGTAAGGTTCACATCACTTGTGGTCGCTTACATAGTGCTTATTTTATTCCAGTCGTTATTGACATGCATTAGGCAGGCCAAGTCAAGCTATGCGGATTTAACGTGTGGTGTAATACAGGGATCAATACTTGGTCCATTGTTGTTCCTAGTATATCTCCTTTTAGGCAACATCATACGTCAAATTTGTTTGAATTGTCATGTTTATGCCGATGACATCCAGCTATTAAATATGATGAAGCTAAGTCATCTATAGAGACCTGTGCTAATAATGTGCAAGTTTAGCTATAAAACAACTTTCTCTGTTTCAATTCAAATATAACAGAAATTTTATTTAATCATGGCAAAGACAATAGCATTGATGGAATGTCTATTGACAATAGACACAATGTGTCGTGTCCAATGATGTTCTCAACATTGGTGCTGATTTTTACTCTAAAATGTCTGTTGAAGAAAATCAATCCCATAAGTCAGTCAATTTCTTACCACATGCGCAACGTTAAACCATCCGCATATATGGATGATATATGGATGCAAAGAAAATTGTACAAGCTCTCATCACGTTACGCCTATTGCAATAGCATAATGGTCTACTACATAACCAGTTGCGAAAAGTACAACTACTGTTGAATAGAGCAGTACGGTTGGTGTCCGGAACTCCACACTTTGAACATTCAGTAGCTCCACGGGCTGCCGATCTATCAACGCATTAACAATCATGGTTTACATACAAAACACTAAAAATTACATCTCCGACCAAGCACCTGCACAAGGTCTCTCAGGTCAATAACAAGTTCGTCAAATCTGTTCGTTACCTCCTTGCAGAGTCAAAACATATGTTGAAAGAACCTTTGCTGCTGCTGCTCCAAAATTATGGAATGACCTACCTGTACATATACGAGAATCACCTTCTCTTGCTCTTAAAAAAACCCAATTAAAATCACTTCTCTTTGACCAGGCTTACTCATAATTTATCGGCCTATTTTAATAATATATATTTTTTTTTTCTGGAGTGGCTCGTTTCCTGATGTTGTCAGGGAATTGGTCGGCACGGTGATCCTGTGAATTATGTTTCCGCGTGGTCGGTCGGCTGGCTTTCAAGGTGCGTAAGAAAGGCACACTGACTCTATCCTGATGGCACTTGGTCTCGTACCGACTTTTCTTGCTTCACTTCAATAATCTTGTTGTAACCTAATTGGTGCATACAGACAGTTGTAGTATGCGCCTTATAAATCCAGTGATTGATCGATTGATTAGACCTTAAAAAAATAAAACTTGTTTGCTTTTACATTATAAATATTTGAATACAGGGACTTTATGGATATAAGTCGTTTTTTTTTTTTTTTTTTTTTTTTTTTTTTTTGAAAAATCATTGAAAAATCGTGAAAAATGCCCGATTTTCATTTTTTTTTACAGGAAAAAACGATAATTTTTTTTATTAAAAAAAAATTAAAATAGTAACAATTCCATGTAACACGAATCTGTGCCAAAGGCGACGAAAAATTGGTTTTCATTTGATCTTTTAAACTAAAAAAAACAAACAAACTCGCCCCTAATTTTCGGGGTTTAGGGCAGGCGGGTGACGGCAAACAAACTTTTTTTAGGCCTTACTACCCTCTTACCCTCGCCTCTAAAGGAGGAGTCAAGGGTATTGCAATAGCGCACTTCTTTCTGTGTGTGTGTGGGTGTGTGTGTGTGTGTGTGTGTGTCTGTCTGTCTGTCTGTGGTGTGTTTGTCCTTCCGGGCGCATAACTAAATTTCACACATTGGCAATAATTGTTTCATGTAGGTTTTAGAAC